TTTTTTTAAAAAAAATTTGCCAGTGGTGTGACTTTTTGACCTTCCCTGTAAGGAAAACACCAACAAGTGCCACCATTCCCAAAGATTTTATAGAAAATCCAAGAATTGGCTTCTTTCTGGAGTGCCAACATAATTGGTGCTCATCTGACTTTGGATGAAGCACTATTAAATGACAGCAACAGAAAGTTTCTGAAGTCCTGGGTTGATGTACCCATGGTCAGTGTAGGGAATCCTTGGTCCTCCATAAGTTGTTGAACTACAAATTCCAGCAATCTTTACTATTGCGCATGCTAGCTGATAGGATTTCTAGTTTAACAACACAGTATCTGAAGGGCCTCCTTCATTTTGTTGCTATTCAAAGTATATCAGGAGCACTCAGGGGTATCCACAGGAAGGGATCAAAAAGTCAAGATGGCAGCCATAACTGGTCAAAACCCTACTCTTTCTTGTGTGCATCTATATAGTTGTGGTAACCATCTTGATTTTGGACTCCCTTCTTGTGGATAGCCTTGCCTTATTGCAAAAATACTACTGTGATCTTCAAGCCATCATATGGTGCCTGTCACCCTATGTTTATCTTGGCTTTTTTTTCCTGGGCAAGTAAGTATCTGCCATTTTTATGTATTTTCTAAGAATGCCATACGGAGCCCAATTGTTGAAAATAAAGATGGTTTCTCAGGTTGATGCTTTCTTCAGAATCATGCTGACTTCTCATTTTTTAAGTAAATGGTTAGTGATCCCTTGGTGTTAAGGATTTTGAAATTATGAATTAAGCAAGAGCAAAGCCAAAGGAATTGGGGGTGGGTTTGATGGTTAATAGAAAATATTTGCAAATAATTGTATTTCAAATGAAGCTTTTGTTGTACAATTGTTCTGCTACAAAATACAGGATTTTACCAACAGAACCAAATATTGTAATATGGTATTTGGAAATTTCTTTTCTTTTCTTTGTGTGTTTTTTGTCTTTTTTTCTTTATGCAAAATATTATGCAAAATATTATGCATAAATATTATGCAAAATATAGAATATTTTTTCTTTTATGAATATATTCACAGTGCCTATTAATTGATAATTTTAGAAGCACCCTTAATGTAGATTTTGCTCAGGCTTTGAAATTATGGTTCCCACATATTTGTTATTTAGTGTGTGTAATCTGGCTTTGTTTAAAACACACACATACATTCTTACAGGATTGTCTGTTCTTGCCACTCCTGTTCTTGGCTTTTAAATAAACTACATTAAATTCAGATTACACATAAAACTGAAAGCAGGATACAAAATATACAGTAGTATTTCTAATATAGTCATTTCAGAAGTGAATTCTTCTTTCTTGCCCATATACATTTCATCGTGATTTTATTTTTTTTAATTCCTCTGTATTCACAACAAACAAATCACAACAAATGGTAACAAAAGCATACCTATAAACCTGCACCCACATTAAACACTTTAAGCCCAACCTAAACCGCTATGAATAGTACAATATATAGAGGACTATATGTGAAATCCATTAATTTTGCTGTAATCATTTTTTCTGATACCGCATTTTTTCTCTACTTAACATAAGTTGCCATGTATGAGGCAACTGTCGCTGAATTATTATTTGCTTTTTATTTGATTATTAGAATTAATAATAAATGAATATTTG